ACAAGCAGCCAGGTAAATTGTGGAGCCGGCCCCCAGGTCCTAAACAGTCCAGTGGCACCTTTAAGACCAAGTTTTATTCAGGTACAAGCTCTCCCTCCTCTGCGAGGATAGATCTTCACGGCCCCCCCCCCAACAGCTAGCAATCCAAAACAGTCCAGTGGAGCCTGAGCGGTGGGTGTTGCCTTCTGACACACTTCCGGTGATGTCAGGGGGTGTGGCATATGCAAATTAAGTTATGCTAACAAGTTATGCTAATGAGCTTCTGCACCTCTTTTTCTACGAAATGACCCCTGACGCTTAGTATTATTGTAATTGTATGAAGGCTGTTTCACCGCAACCTGGATAGACCAGGCTAGCCCAGTCTTGTCAGATCTTGGAAGCTATGCAGGCTTGGCCCTGGCTAGTATTTGGATGGGAGGCCTCCATGGAATACTAGGGTCATCATGACATGGAGACAGGCACTGGCAAATCGCCTCTGAACGTCTCTTGCCTTGAAAACCCTACAAGGTTTCCATATATCAGCTGTGTCTTAACAGCACTTCACACCACCACAATGTATATGCCAACAAAGTAATCAATGAGTAATTTTATGTTCTCAAAGTGATAACGCGAGTTCATGTTTTATAATTAAATATTGCATATATTTCCATTTTCTCCTTTTTTTAAAATTGCTGTCCCCCCCCTCCCATCCCCATGATTTCAGAAAATCTGTGAGACGGCATGTAGAGATCAGCTCATTAGATAGTAACATAAAATTGTTAAGTTCAAGGCATAGCTTTTGGAATTACAGTTAAACGTACCTATTTTTCCTGTATTAATGAATATATATTGAACACTTAACATCCATCTTGCTTTTTAGAGAAATTCAACAGTGAATCACACCAACTGCTTTAATGAAAAACATATTGTTTGTGGTAAAATTGATTTATTCTCATTCAGATGCAAATGCACATGGACCTGTAGTTGAGCTAATGTTATAAATACCAATTTTATTCATTTATTTCCAGGTGCACCAATGGCATCTAATGTTCTGCAAGAACAAGATTTGCAGTTGTGGAATGAGGTAAAGAGCAATGTCCCATGTTGTCTGTTTTAATCTCATTGTTGATTTTTGTGTGTGTGTGTTTGTGCTTTTTTGTGTATAAAGGAAGAGACTGAAAACTAAGGCTTCTAGGATGTGGACTTGGATTGCACAAAAGATTTCTGCAGTTGTGTGTGTGATTTTCACTTACTTCCCCTGCCTGATTCAGATCTCTATCTCCCCATCGATTTTGTTCCTGGGGTCTCCCTGTCCCCTAGCTGTACTATTTTGGGGTGACTTTTAGGGTGCTATGGGAGAGGGAGGTAAGAAATCCATGCTCTGTAAACAGAAATTGCTTCCCTCTGCAGAAATTCTCTGTGGGATCCAAATTACAGATAATGATTTTTATGTGACAGTTCACAAGTAATGTATGTGGTCCAGAATCATGGTTTAACATCCCGAAAAACCTCAGATTTTGATGTATGTGCATCTTACGCTTATGCATAAGCAATTTCTAGTCCAGAGGTTATACGGATGCATTTGAAAATAGCCTTTAGGCATTAAAGGTTCACACACACAAAGGATTCCAAATTCACTATACAGAAGAAGGCTCTTGTGCTTAGAGAGAAAGAGGGTTAGATCCAGATTAAATGTTCCATCAGTAAAATGGGACTTTCTTGCCTCCCCTCTTGCATGGCAACCCAGCAATTCCCACAAAATGATGTTCCTGTGGGATAGGGAAACCGTGACGAATGACATGAGAGGAGCCTGAAGTCGGAGGAATCTGTGAAACTGGTAGTTTAGTTTGGATCCAGCCTGGAGCCCATAACACAAACCTGTAATCAGGAGATTTATTTGCTGTTCAGTACTGTCTGCTGCAAGGCTTTAGAATAGGACTGTGAAGAGAAATCACTGCTGATCTCGGAATGCTAGTCATAACAACACTACAGAGGAGATGAGAACTGTCTTGTTAGAAACTTCTGTCCAAGGAGTGTAAGAGCTGTAGGAACTACAAATCCAAGGGGGGAAAAATCATACCTTCAGGAAGGGGCACAACGACATGTATTTAGGAAGATATCCTGTACAAAGGAAACAGTTTTTCTTTTCTTCTTCCTCTGTCTCTTGTCCTTGTCAAGACAGCACCATGGTCTCATTGAATAAGTTGCTAGATCAATTCACTTGCAGCCTGGTGCAAAGAAAAGTGGGGAAGGATAATCACAGGCAAATATCTTTTCCTGTTCTCTGTACCTCTCCAGGAGACCTGGAGAAACAGGACATTGTAAAATCACAGATAGGTGAGATGAAGTTTTTAATACATAAATAACCATCGTATCAGCAGACCTGAGCCTGCATGCTGCAAAAGTTTCTATGTAAGAGTGCAGAAATGTCTTGGGGGAGCTCTGTGTTATTTCCCAAAGCCCCACAGCTAGGGAGGGCAATCCGCTCTCAAAAAAGGGGTGACAAATTTTCTGATCCTGTCTTTTGACTGTCTGAGGTCTGAACCCTTGACTGAGAAAAGAAAGATCTCAGAAGTGATTTTTTCCCCAAAAAAATTCAGCATAGCAAATAAATAATAGTACTCTTACCTTGTTAATATTTACAGATAGATGATGTGTGTTCTGCTTACCTGGCCAGGGATGCACAGCCTCAGGTTAGTTCGTTTAAAAATTCATTCAAATACAAGACAGTTCCATAAACTCAAGCCTGAGACTATTTTTTTTTTTGCCTTTAGTCAATCTAATGCATTGGAAGAGCTTTGCTTTATGGTTCTGGGACTTCTACAGAAAACTCAGGTAATGGTAGTTAACATTATATTTTTATTTTGTGCAGTGCTGTGGAATTAACTGTTAACATCCATTCAGATAGTGGATTGAACCCTGCCTAGATTTTCATGAATGCAAAAATGTGTGTGATCCCCCCATCCCCCTCTTCCATAGGATCCAAAAATGCCTCCAAAAGTGATGATTAGAGGAATGGGAGACCCCCAGGAATAGCTTGGGGAAATCTCTGGTGGGAGTGGGGACTCAGCAACCCCCCTCCCTGAGCCTGTGGAAATCTAGGTGAGTTCCAAGTCATTAACAGATATAATTTCCCAATATATGGTATCCCAGCTATTGTCATGGATATCTACGGACTGCCAAGTTGGTAAGGTAAAGGTTTCCCTTGCTCGAAAGCCAGTTGAATTCCACTCTAGGGATGCGGTGCTCATCTCCTTTTCCAAGTCGAAGAGCCAGCGCTGTCCAAAGGCGTTTCCATGGTCATGTGGCCGGCATGACTAGACACCGAGGCGCACGGAACTCTGTTACCTTCCCACTGAAGCAGTACCTGTTTATCTACTTGCAATTTCTTGCTTTCGAACTGCTAGGTTGGCAGAAGCTGGGACCAGAGACGGGAGCTCACTCCGTCACGCGGCACTCGGGTCTCGAACTGCTGAACTACAGACCTTCTGGTCTGTACTGCTAGTCAAATTACTGTTCACGGGCAGAAAAGTTGTACTGGTAATAAAACCCTTTTGCCCTCAAGAGTTTTCTAGGTTAGAAGCTTTGGGTGCTGCTTGACAGATCTGAATCTTTCCTTTGTCCGTGATTTAGAATTAGTGCCTCCCTTTATGTTTTGCAGTTATAGGATATAAATTACAGAACAGTCCTGAGTGTGGAGTTGGATCACATCCTCTCATAGGGCAAATAAACTGTTTTCACTTCTTTCCAACATTTTTGAGATGCTGCTGTCTTTGATTAATGGGGAGGAAGGAGAGGGTCATTCCAAGTCATAGATTTAGCAGTGAAAAGCTGGTTTCGGCTGTGTTTGTGCCAGAGCAACAAATATGAACACATTTGTAGTTCAGTCTTAAAACTAGTTTTGTCAGCAAACTCCGATGGGAGATTATACATTATTGTGCAAACATATTGTACCAAATTATACACGTTACAAGGCAGATTATATGCCGATTTAAGATCAGGGTCTGAACTATTTAGTAGCCATTGGCAGTGTGCATCTGCTTGTTTTTACAACCAAAGCCATGTATAGTTTGTCCATGAAACAACAGAGCAGGATTTGTATGTTCCATGGGTCTATATGTGTCTAGAACTTGCATCTTTAAATTAGGCAGAATTCACCATTCTGAGAATCTCTGCATTATTTTTTTAAAAGTAATTTTTAACTGTTGGCTATAGAGCGATGCTAGAACGTGTCAGCAATGCCAGGTAAAAGAAGCCAGAGGCCGATTGCATAAGATTTTGAGTGAGACACCTTTGGGTAGTGAAGGGTGGGGTATAAATCCAATCTCCTCTTCTCTTCTTCTTCTATCCTTTTTTCTTCCCCTTAATAAGCAGCCTGGAAAATAAAATACTCATTTACTTATTCTATATAACATATATACTTTGTAGAACTCAGCTTTTAATACAAAATCTGCAACAACTATTGTGTGTGTATGTGTTTAAAGTAGAGGTACACACCACAGTGAGTTCTAGCCAAGAAATACTAGGGTCAGATCCTGCAGCTCACAAAACTGTATTCTCCATCATATTTGGAGTTCAACTTTATTGCATAATTTTTCTGACAGTGAAAGATCTCCTCAGAAATGATGTTGTCTAGCCACTATCACATGCTGTTTGGGAGTAAGGACAAGGAGAAAATAAAGCACACAGAAATAATGGCACCTTTTTTGTCTATAATATTTTGTGTTGTTGGTACATCTTTAAAATGAAATCATAGTTTAACAGTGCAGGAAGCATATATTTTCCAACCCATTCCTCTAATACCATTGTCTAACTATTAAAGGAACTTCTAGATATGATACAGATATTATGGAAAGAAAAAGAGTAGAAATGCTCAGTTTCTGTTGATGAAGATATTAATAATTCCAAAGATTCAAAACCAGTACAAAATGAACCGCCAAACCAGTGTTTAGAGTACCCCCCATGATCTGTGCTGTGGCTGGATTTCTTCTAAATTCCTGTCCCAATTCTTGTTTCCATAGGTGTTAGATGAAAAAGACAACACCAAACGAGTAAGTGTATTTTCATCTGCCCTTTATTCGATTGTGCTATAAGTGTCTAAAAAATAATAATCACAGCTCCTTAACCTTTCTCAAAGTAAATTCCACTTTTAATTTCTTTGAACAGTTCTTATTTCATTATTCTAAGACCCATGACACAGGCAACTCAGACTTTCTGGTAAGTTGAACTGCCCCTTCCCCTGAACACTGAAACACATGCCTGTAATTAAAGAGAAAATTAAATTATCATTATATTCAAACTTCCATTAATCCTTCCAGGATTGAGATCATTTGTAATCTGTGAAATGGTTCTAAATATAATTGATTGACCTTAGTTGGACACATGAGGCTGATTTATAGTAAGGCAGAACATTGGTCTTTCAAGGGCAGTGCAAGGCTATGCGGTGTCACTAGAGTTGGCAGGGGCCAGCACACTCTACTCTTTGGGCCTCAGTAGGCCGCAGTACTTAGAGGGAAAGGAGTTCGGGCATCCATACTCTTTCTCTTCTCTCCCAACTGCTTTTCCCTTCAGCTGGCTAGGCCCAGGGAAAGCTGGAGCAGGTTCTCCTTGGACTGAGTCTTCGGCTTGTATGAAGCAGGCCTTATCAGGTACCCTAGAGTTGCCAACCTCCAGGTAAGACCTGGAGATAGGGTTGCCAAGTGTAAAGTACTTACCGGCGGGGGAGCCTTGCTGGGCTCCTGGAACCGTCCCTGGATCTGTGCGCGCGCGCCAAGCGCACGCACACCGCCAGCACGTCACCAGAAGTGACGTGCGACGTCGATCACGTTGAGGGCGTGGCCTCGATTGTCGGAGGGAAAACCATAGAGTTTTTCCTCCAACAATTGGGGCCACACCCCCAACGTGATCGACGTGGTTGCGTCACCTCTGGTGACGCAGCCATGCTGCGCTTCGGGGGGCAGGTTTCCCCCCGGGGCCCGATTCTGCGGCAGCGGAAATCAGGCCTCCAAAGTGGGGGTTTACCCGCCACCTGCCCCCAATTGGCAGCCCTACCTGGAGATCTCCTGCTATTACAGTTGATCCTTAGACAAGCAAGATCAGTTCCCCTGGAGAAAATGGCTACTTTGGAAGGTGGACTCTATGTCATTGTTCCCTGCTGAGGCCCCTTCCTTTCCCAAGCCCTACCTTCTCCAGGCTGCATCCCCAAATCTCCAGGTATTTCCCAGCCCTAGGGTATGCCCACCCCTTACCTGTCCCTGCCTCCTACAGGATTAGCCCTGCCTGCAGAAAGCAAAGGGAGGGCATGGTATGGCCAACCCCTGAAGTTGCCCCTGCCTGGATATCACACCTGCTTTTTGTTTGCCTACTCTCTCCTGGCCCTCTCTGAGAGCTGCCCGGGGTGGGGAGGAGATCCAGGGTCTGGTAGCTGTGGTCAGGGGTATTACATTACATTACATTACACTTTCAGCTTATATACCGCTCCTTCCCGAGGGCTCTCTCCATGCCCTGGGTTCCCAATAGGTTTGGGGGTGTGGGTTTGCCCCTAGACAGTCAGTATCGTCTGTCCTCACTGGCGGCAGCTATCCATGGTCTCAGGCAGAGGTATTTCACCTCACTTACTACCTCATCCTTTGAACCAGAGGTTGAAACTGGGATCTTCTGCATGCCAAGCAGATGTTTTGCCACTGACCTATGCCCCCTCTAAAAGTTGAAGTCTAATGGGAAACAGATGGTGATCATCTTTGAAAGTCAAAGATTTAACATTTCAGAAGGGAAATGGGTGAAGAACATCTCTGCTAGACACCAAAGCGGTATCTGAAATAAGTGTTCACGCCGGGGATAGTTTTCCATCCAACATAAATTAATGTTATTTCTATAAAACATTATATTATCTATTCTGGTGTATATTAATTAATGATCCAAGAAACAAACGCTGGCAACATCAATTCTATAATAGACGTTTCTTCAAAAAGCCGAGAGTTATTTTAATTTTAGTTTTGGGTTTCATTTGAAACAATCTGGTATTTTGTGTATACACCTAAACAGCTAAAAATGTGTTTTAATCAGCTGATGCTTTTCAAGTGTACTAAAAGACCCTTACTTGTCATGCTGTATGGAAACTCTGAGCTGAAGTAATACAGCAGAGCTTAAAATGTTCATTTGTTAACCTACTCAGTGTTTCATATTTTGCCCAGTGTTTATGTATTAATGGTCAATAGCATCGAATCTTTGCTTCAGATTTTTACGCACTGAGAGAGCCTTCCAAGGCAGAAGCAAGTCCCATTGTATTCAGTGGGGCTTTCTCCTAGGAAAGTGCTCTTAGCATTCCACAGTTAGAAACATAACATAGCATCTTACTGCTAAAGGCAATATAACCACTGTAGGTTTGCAGTTGAATTTGTGTGCTCTCGAATGCTGCTTCATGACTTCAGGAATCGGTGTTCAAATGGGGTTTGCATCTTCCACAGTATCCTTCTTTTTATAGCTTCTGTCATGATTACAAACATCTGGTAATAAAAGGAAATTAAATGGTTCTGTTAAATAAGCTGGGGTTTTTTTGTTTCTCTTAGTATTTGAATAAGGAATTCTATTTGAGTCTTTTGGTAGAAGTGTGTTAGAAGCGCACGTCCTTTACTATATGATCATGAACAGTGTTCTGTCTTTTAACTTTTGATCTTTTGGTTTGAGCTTCCTGTTAAATGAAGACAAGGATGCAATATCGTTTGCAAATGATAATATTTATATTGAACTTTACACATGTTTGTTGCATGAACATTTTTAATCATTTTAACAGAAATATTAATAATACACTTATTGTGGCATGCAACGTTCCCTCTAAGCTGTGGAGTCTTGTGAGCAAAAATTCTACTTTGTGAGCTACCGGCATTAAAGTTGTGAGCGAGCAATTTGGCTGCTGCATAAATCAGTTTGCTCTGGACCATCCTTCCTGAACTAAGACAAAAATGTGTGAGCTGGAGGCTAAAGAACTGTGAGCTAGCTCACACTAACTCAGCTTAGAGGGAACACTGGTGGCATGTGTAGTGCAAACTGATTATACTGTATGTCCTTCCTACCCAATCCAGAACTCTGCAAGTGCAGAGAGCCTTTGTGACTAGCAGTGACTGGGGGGTTGTGGGGTTGTGGAGTAGCTGAACGGCTTTAGCTTGAGGTGACCAGAAGAGTGCAAAGCCATGGAGAAGAATGCAAGGAGGCGAGACTTAAGGACTGAGGAAGCCAAGGATTAATTACATCAGCCCTTGTATTTAAGTACTACAGCATCAGGAAATGCTGCCTTGGCGATGACCCTTGGTTTAAATAATGTGGCATCTTAAAGGCCCAACATCTGAGCTGCTGGTGAAGGGTTTGAACCTCACTGTAAGGTTTCAGTCTGGGTTCTTCTCTTGCATTATGAACCTGATATTCTGGAAAGAGTAGCGTGGAGATTCTCTGGAGAGGTGGCACCTAAATCATGGGATGTTGAGTGGGATCAAGAGACCCCTGCTTTCCAGTTAGTGAGACCCGTTCTTTCTTGTGATCGAATGCTTGAATGCTAAGGGCTGTGTTGCTGTTTGCTCTCAGTCCAGGTCTGATCTGGCAGATCCTCTTGCCTGGAGATATCAAGATTTGCAACAATCCTAAAACTGTTCCTTCTGGCAAGGGGTTCTAGAAATCTTTGTCTCGTGCTATATTGGTGGAACCTGTTATGTTAGATAGGAGGTAGCTGAGGATAACAAACACTGAACTACCATTGGCTTCTCGAACTACAGCCAGTTTGGTGTAGTGGTTAAGTGCGCGGACTCTAATCTGGGAGAACCAGGTTTGATTCCCCACTCCTCCACTTGCACCTGCTGATGTGACCTTGGGTCAGTCACAAGCTCTGGCACAGCTGTCCTTGAAAAAGAGCAGTTTGTGTCAGAGTTCTCTCAGCCCCACCCACCTCACAGGGTGTCTGTTGTGGGGAGGGGAAGGGAAGGGAAAGGAGTTTGTAAGCCGCTCTGAGACTCCAAGTGAAGGGCGGGGTATAAATCCAATTTCTTCTTCTTCTCTTGGAAAGAGCTTTGAGTAGTCCACGTAAATTTGGAAATATACACAGGCACAAGACTATCTGACACTGATTTCCGTCATGGGAGAGAGTTGCAGAGAGTTGCAGTGCACATCCGTGAAGGAAAATGCAACATCGGAAGCACCCCCGAGACTGTCCCAAAATATGATGTCTTCCATCCTTTGCTTTGCATGATCTCTTCATGAGCAGATGCTGTAGTAGAGAGATTTTTTTTTCACATCCGGAGTCCAGGATTTCATTGTTGTTCATGTCCTCTCAGTCATCTGTCCTGCATCCTTTGCTGCAACTTGTTCCCCAACTGCATGAGAGGAGACCGAAGAGATCCAAAGTGGACGTATGTAACTTTTTAATTATGCATGCTCATGTTCCCTTCCCTGCTTTCTGAAAATGCCCCGCATCTGTTCCTGAGATGCATCAGGTTATTGCATTTTCCATTTTTTATTGTGCTGTTATTTTTTTGCATGTGTTTTTTAACCTTCAAAAATATGTAGGTACGATGCCATACCTCATATTAAAAAGTTACATAAAGAACAAAAATCTTTTATTTATGGAAATAAATGTTATCGATATCTTTCCTTTCAAAGCTCTGCTGTCCTGGTTGAAATAAAGAATTTTAATACCGCTGTCCAGATGCCTAATCCAATGACCCTAAGGGCTAGAACAACATAGTATAGTCCGATACAAACAATCCTTGGAGTTATCAGCATATTTATTTTTTGTCATAGGACACTGGTCCCAAAAGTATTTTCTGGAATCCACACAGTCTATTTTAACCTTTTTTGTTTGTTTAATTTTTTATTGTTTATAGTGATGAGAGAGAAGAATTCAGAGAGCAAACAATTTCAAGATTAGCATTCAGCTCAGACTTTTGCTCTTTGAAGTGGTACTTCACCCTAAACACAAACGTATTTACTCTGTCAAGTTTCTGTCAAGAGCTCTCTCAGCCCCACCTACCTCACAGGGTGTCTGTTGTGGGGAGGGGAAGGAGTT